ACCCAGTAATGGGATTGCAGGATCAAATGGGAGGTCTAGCTTGAGTTCTTTGAGGGTTCTCCATACTTCCTTCCAAAAAGGTTGTATTAGTTTGCAGTCCCACCAGGAGTATAAAAGTGTTCCTTTCTCTCTACATCCATGCCGTCCATGTGGTTTTGAGATTCTGTGATGTGGGCCATTCTCACTGGGGTTAGATGATATCTCAAGGTGGTTTTGATTTGCATTTCTCTCATAATAGAAATTGACTGTATTTCTATATACTAATGATGAATATATAGAACTCGATTTTTAAAATACAATACCATTTAGAGACCCTCCAAAGAAAATTAGTTATAAATTTAAGGCTGGGCATGGTGGCTCACACCTATAACTCCCAGAATTCTGGGAGGCTGATACAAGACTGTTTGATCTCAGGAGTTCAAGACCAACCTGAGCAAATAGTGAGACTCCACCTCTACTAAAAATCAAAAAAATTATCTGGGCATGATAGCACATACTTGTGGTCCCAGATACTCAGAGGTTTGGGCAAGAAGCCCTGTTGTACCCCAGAATTGGAGGTTGATGTGATCTACAGTGATGCTCCAGCACTCTACCCAGGGTGACAGAGTGAGACCCTGTCTCAAAAAATTTATAAATTTAATCATTTCAAATTTTGACCAATAATCATTTTCTAGACCAACTCAATCTCAAGCAATTCAAATCTCCATTTCTGAATTGGTGTTTCCTTCCTTTGAGTAAATTCTAAAGCAATGAGTATTTTAATACCAGTGGCCATGAGTCTCAAAGTTGCAGTGGTGTCCAATTTCAGCTCCAGGCCATGAGGCCACATAGGCAGTCCTGTGAGGAGCTATAAATGGCGAGCAACTGAAGTCTTTTGCCAATAGCCATCTGAGTGAGCCATCTAGAGAGTGAATCCTTCTATTTTACTGAAGATTTGTAATGATTGCATCTCCAACCAAAATCAAGACTGCAGACTTTAATCATTGAACCAAAGCCATCTACCTAAGGTGCCTCTGAATTTCTGACTTGCAGAGACTGGGAGATAATAAATATCTATAGTTATTTTAAGCTGCTAAATTTTGGGATAATTGTTTTACAGCAATAAATAACTAAAATAGAACCCCAAACCAAAATAATTATAAATTTAACAAAAGATGTTCAAGATCTGTGTGCCATAAATTATAAAAGGCTGATGAAAAGAATTAAAGAAGACCTAAATATAAATGGGGAAACATAGATGTTCATGGATTGGAAGACTCAGCATAGTAAATATGTCAATTATTCCCAAATTGATTTAATGCAATTCCTATCCAAATCCCAGCAAGATTCTTTGCAGATATAAATGAGCTGATCCTTATATCTATAGATATGAAGGACAAAGGAATTAGACTAGCTAGAACTATTGAAAAGGAAGAATAAATTGGAAGAAATTGCTGAACCTGACTGCAAGACTTATTATGTAGCTACAGTAATTAAGACTGTGTGGTATTAGCAGAATTACTGACACATAGATCAGTGGAGTACAATAGGGCATCTAGAAATAATCCCACATAAGTACAGCCTACTGATTTTTGACAAGCTGCAAAAGCACTTAGCTGGAGGAAGGATAGTATTTTTCAAAAATGGTACTGGATCCACTAGACATTCAAAGGTAAACAAGTACCACATATCTATACTAATATATAAAATATACAAAGAACTCTCAAAAGTGAACATTACACAAATAATTCAAATAGAAAATTAACAAAAAACATGCACAGACATTTCTCTGAAGAAGATGTACATATGGCAAATAAAGACGTGAAAACATACTTCTTTTCACTCTTGTCAAGTGAAAGATGATATTTGAACCACTATCATGTTTGTTGTGATGGAGAAAGAAAAAATAGAAGGGATGATAAGGAGGTAGGATCAGTAGGATGTTGGTGATATCTAGCTGTGTAGGAGGTAGAGGGCAGAGAGGACTCAATAAAGATGTTTAGCACCATTAGCCATTAAAGAAATGCATATTAAAACCTCAATGGGGTGGCACCTGTGGCTCAGTGGGTAGGGGTCAGCCCCATGTACTGAGGGTGGCGGGTTCGAACCCGGCCCTGGCCAAACTACAACAAGGAGACAGCCAGGCATTGTGGTGGGCACCTATGGTCCCAGCTGCTCAGAAGGATGAGGCAGGAGAGCCACCTGGGCCCAGGAGTTGAAGGTTGCTGTGAGTTGTGTGATGCCATGCCACTCTACCGAAGGTGATAGAGTGAGACTGTTTCTACAAAAACAAAAACAAAAACAACTCAATGAAGTATTACTACATACCTATAAAAATGTCTAAGATGTATAATAGTGATAATACCACATGCCAGAGAGGATGCAGGGAAACTGGTTTGCTTATAAGTTGCTAGTGGGAATGTAAAATGGTACTACAAGTCTGGAAAGTAATTTGACATTATTTTTAAAAACTAAAAATAGACTGGCTAAGCATGGTGGCTCATCCTATAATCCTAGCACTTTAGGAGGCTGAGGCGGGAAGATCACTTGAGGTCAGGAGCTAGAGCCCAGGTCAAACAACATAGCAGGACCCCATATCTACAAAAAAATAAGAAAAATTAGGTGAGAGTCATGGTAGATGCCTGTAGACTCAACTATTCAGGAAGCTGAGGCAGGAGGAGCACCTGAGCCCAGGAGTCTGAAGTTGCAGTGAGCTATGATGACACCACTTCCCTCATGCCTGGACAACAAAGCAAGACTTATTTTTTTTTTTTGAGACAGAATCTCACTTTATCGCCCTCAGTAGAGTGCTGTGGCATCATAGCTCACAGCAATCTCCAACTCTGGGGCATAGGAAATTCTCTTGCCTCAGCCTCCTGAGTAGCTGGGACTCCAGGAGCCTGCCATAATGCCCAGCTATTTTTGTTGTTGTTGTTTTTGCAGTTTGGCCTGGGCCAGGTTTGAACCCGCCACCCTCAGTATATGGAGCTAGTGCCCTACCCACTGAGTTACAGACATTGCCCAACAAGACCTCTTTTTAAAAAACAACAACAAAATCCCTACATAAACTAAACTAAAAGTAGACTTAACATAAAGCTCAGTGATTACACTTAGGCATTTATACCAGAGAAATGAAGACTTATTTTTGTGCAGGAACTTGTTCATAAAGCACTTTTATTCTTAATATCTCCAACAACCCAGATATCTTTCAATGAGTGAATAGTTAAACTGTGGTACATCCATACTATGGAATACTTCTCAGCAAATATAATGAACTATTGATGCATGTAACAATATGGATGGATTACAAGGGTACTATGCTGAATGAAAATGCCAATGTCAAAGGTGGCATATTGTATGATTCCATTTATATAACATTCTCTAAAATGACAAAATTATACAGATGGATAACAGATTTCCATAGTGGCTTCCATGAGTTAGGGATAGTGCTAGAAGGCACTGGGTGTGACTATAAAGCATCAGCACACTGTAAACCTTTGTGGTTATGGATTTGTTTTGTATCTTAATTGCAGTGCTAATTACATGAACCTACACAACATAGAACTATAGAGAAGTGCCAAAAAATGTATACACATTTTAAGAAAGGATATAGTTTTAAAAACTATATTAAAATTGTAATACTAGAGTCAAATTTTGACTCTCGCAATTATGAGAGATGCAGGATACAATATACAAGATTACAAACATCATCAATATATGCTAAATATTATACTTTTAATGCACTTTTTTCTTTCTTAAAATGTTCATACATTTTTGGCACCCTCTGAATATACACGGATTGTAATAATATTGACTTCCTGGATTTGATAAGATATAACCATTGGAAAAATTAGGTGAAGCATGCACAGGACCTCTCTCTACTATTTTTGCAATTCCCTATGAATCTATAATTATTTTGAACTAAAAAGTTGTTTTTTTTTTTAGAAAAAGAAACATTCTAGTTATTGTGGAGCGTGGGTGTGAGGCAGACCAGACAGGATGAAGGTAGGAACAAATAGTCTGGAGACTCTTGTCAGGTGAAAGATGATATTTGAACCACTACAATGTTTGTTTTGATGGAGAAAAGAGATAAAATAGAAGGGATGATAAGGAGGTAAGATCAGCAGGAAGTTGGTGATATCTAGCTGTGTATGAGGTAGAGGGCAGAGAGGACTCTATTATGACTCTTAAGTTTCTAACTTGGGTGATTGAGTAGATGCCAGATACCTCAAATAAAAGAGGATATAGCATAGGAGCATGAGATGTCCTAGAAACCATGTTTTCCTAGTCTGTTACATCTTTGTAAATCTAAAAGATGTTGAGTTTTTGAGAACTTTGTGAAATTCCTTGAAGTCTTTCTTCCTTCAATTTCTTTCTTTACATTAACTTAAAAAATAAGTTCAAAGTAATTAAGAACTCTGTGACATTGGGCTTTGATTTCTTTATCTGCAAAATAAATGCTATGTTTTATTATAATATATTCATAATTGTTTTTAGGGTCTTCTGAAAACTACATGAGTTTATGTTAAGTACTTAACACATATCAACTACTTAATAAATGCTTACTATTTCTGCTGTTACTGCTGCTAATAATTAAAATTGTAGTAACAAAAAATTAGGCCAAGCACATTGGCTCATGCCTATAATCCTCTAGCACTGTGGGAGGCCGAGGATCTCTTGAGGTCAAGAGTTCAAGACCAGCCTGAGCAAAGTCTCTACTAAAAATAGAAAAATTACCCAGCCATGGTGGCATGCACCTATAATCTTATCTATTCAGGAGGCTGAGGCAAGAGGATTGCTTGAGCCCAGGAGTTTGAGGTTGCTGTGAGCTAGGCTGAGGCCATAGCATTCTAGCCTGGGTGAGAGAGCAAGACTCTGTCTCATGAAAAAAAAAAAAAAATATATATATATATATATAGTAACAAAAAATTAAAAAAATGTTGAAATGTGATGGCTCTTAAAAATTGTGGTCAGCTACAGAAACACTCAAAAGTCTATGTTCCTCAATTTCTGTTTTCCAGTTCCTTCAGTGATCCTTAAAGAGTGGTCTGCCTATAAAGGAAAGTCACCTCAAACACCTGAGCTGGTGTCTGCACTGACATTTCGAGAATGGACTTGCCCAAATCTCAAGAAGCTCTGGCTCGGCAAAGCAGTTGAAGACAAGAACAGAAGGATGCGGGCCTTCCTGGCCTGTATGAAATCAGACACACCCAGTATGCTCAATCCAGCCAATGTCCCCACCCATCTGTTGCTCATGTGCTGTGTACTCCGGTAAGCCATGTGACAGAAAGGCAGCTAGTTCTTTTCTCTCTCTCTCTTTTTTTTTTTTTTGACATTTCTTTTAGACAAGTGTTTTTATGGCATTTCAAGTGGGGATATTTTAAATTCATCTTAAAATTCAAACATTGAAAATGCTTTTTAGGATAGTCTTCTGAGTTTTAATCTTTCATGTTTGGTTTTACTTTAGTTTTTGTCTACTTCAGGCCTCATTCCTGATCCTGTTTCCTTCTTCCCACCCATAGTCATCCACTCTTAGATATGTTATGTGTGTCCTTCCAAGTGTTCTGCCATACATTTATTTCAACATATGTATAGCCATGCTTCAGATTTTTTGGCATCAGGGAATGGTTTCATGGAAGACAGTTTTCCCACAGACTGGGGTTGGGGTTGGGGGTTGGGGGAATGAGACAGGAGGTAGAGCATAGGCAGTGATGTGTTCAGCCAGATTCCTAATGGGCCACAAACTGATACCACTTCATGACCTGGGATTAGGGATCACAGGTTTGTAGTATTTGTTGTATATGTAAATAAACATATTTTTCCTTTTTTAACATGAAAGGCATTGTGCTATATACCTCATTTTGTTTCATACTTTTTCACTGATTATTATTTTTGAGATCTATCAATATTCATATATGGGTCATTCTTCTTGACTGCTGGATTATGTTTCATCGAATACTAATTTCATAGTATTTTATTTATTGATTGATAGATAGTTGTTTCCAGTACTTTGGTATTACAACAGTGCTATAGGGAATATCTTCATAGATGTTTCTGTCTCTTTGTATCCCTGTGTTAGTTTATTTTAAATATAAGCCCAGGGGTAGAATTCCTGGATCTTGTAAAATATACATGTAGATTTTTTGCTAAATATTTCCAAATTGCTCTAGGTTATAACTGTACTAATTTATATCATTATGAACAGTTTATAAGTGCTTCTATTCCCTCACATTATTGCCAGTGTTAATATTATACAACTACTTGATTTTTTGCTAATCTAGTGGATTTCAAGTACTATGTCTTAATTTGCATGTATTTGACTAGAGTAGAAGTTAATCTTCAATGTTTATGCTTATTAGCCATTTCAGTTTTCTCATTCTCTGAAGTGTTAATTTATTTTGCAAATTTTCTATTAGGTTACTTGTTTTTTTTCTTGCTAATTATAGAAGTCTCTTGTCAGATATGTGTGTGTACACAGACACATACATAGGAGATATATTCCTTATATTTGTATGTGTCTGTGTGTATCAACTATCTTTTCTAGTCAGCCATAATTTTTTAAACTTCATGTACAGGGTGGACATAAAGTTTGTATGCAATTTACTGTGTTAAACTATTTTAAATTGCACATGAACTTTATGTATCCTTTGTTGAAGAGAAGCATTTTGATTTTTACTAACATTTTGTGGCTGGGAGAAATGGCAATTGTCTGTCATCCTAGCATTCAATGCTCCAGGCTTAAGGCTTTTTTGTTTATTTTCATTTAAAAAATTATTTTCCTGGGCAGCGCCTGTAGCTCAGTGAGTAGGGCGCCAGCCCTATATACCGAGGGTGGCAGGTTTAAACCTGGCCCCGGCCAAAAAAATAACTGGGCATTTTGGCAGGCACCTGTAGTCCCAGCTACTTGGGAGGCTGAGGCAAGAGAATTGCCTAAGCCAAGGAGTTGAAGGTTGCTGTGAGCAGTGATGCCACGGCACTCTACAAGGGTGACAAAGTGAGACTCTATCTCTAAAAAAAAAAAAAAAAAAAAAAATTCCTATCCCAAATTCAGTTAAATCATTGCTTACTTTTCATTCTGCCTTTTATCTTTTGTTTTTATGTTTGTCTCTATAATTAATCCATCTGGAATTTATGTGGGGCATGGCTCTAATGCCCATTTTCTGCCCAAATGCTAACCTAAGTCTCTAAACAATAATTAAGAAATTCATCTCCTCTTCATTGATTTGTAATGCTTCCCTTAGCATATATATATGTATGTATTTTTTTTAAAGACAGAGTCTCACTTTATTTGAGGTTGTTGTAAGCTATGACGCCATGCCACTCTACTGAGGGTGACAAAGTGAGACTCTGTCTTATATATATACTAAAGGAAGCATTACAAATCAAAAAAGCCTTAAGCCTGGAGCATTGTCAAAAACAGTAGCGGGCTTGCACCGTGGCTCATGCCTGTAATCCCAGCACTTTGGGAGGCTAAGGCAGTAGAATCACTTAAGACCAGGAGTTCAAGACCAGCCTGGGCAACATAGTGAGACACTGTCTCTAAAAAATGAAAAATAGTCATGGTGGTGTGTGTCTGCATTCCCAGCTGCTCAAAATGAAGTAGGACTGTCATTTTAACCCAGGAGTTCAAGGCTAAGAGTGCTATGTTTGTGATACTGTGCTCTAGAAGACCCTGTTTCAAAAATAAAAACAAAACAATAACAGTCTTGATACCAAAAAGTCAGGGAAGGCAAATACCTCAGTTTCCTGTGGTTGCAATATACCAAGCCAAAAATTTAACTGGCTATGAGAGAGCCATGAGGATTTTGAAAAGTTTTCACATATTCCTGGGGTTTGGAAGATTGTATGTGAACTTGAGAGAGATCATAGGGAACCCCAGTTATATATTTGTACTTGGCTGAGCATGAGTCCCTGCACAAGGTGAAAATAAAAGCCGGACAGACTTGTAAATTGCCTGAATTTTTAATGCATGCTCCAATATACAAATAGAATCCCTGGTAAATGATGGAAGCCTTGTTGCTTAAGTTGTTTATGCACAACTTTGACTGACTCAATGACTGACTGACTAATAAACTATGCTGACCCAAAAGAGACCCTTATAAAGCTAGCCTTAAAAATATTGAATAAAAAGAAGAATTTAAAATCTGAGAGGGGCTGGGCACAATGGCTCATGCCTGTAATCCTAGCAGTCTTGGAGGCCAAGGTGGGTGGATTGCTTGAGTTCAGGAATTATAGACCAACCCAAGCAAGATTGAGACCCTGTTTCTACTAAAAATAGAAAAATCTAGCTGGGTGTTGTGGTGGGTGCGTGTAGTCCTAGATACTAGGAAGGCTGAGGCAAAGAAGATCTCTTGAGTCCAGGAGTTTGAGGTTGCTATGATCTTTGATGACACAATGTCACTGTTTCTGGGAGCAACCAAGTGAGACTGTGTCTCAAAAAGAAAAATAAACAAATAAATGCAAATAAAATCTGTGCAGGGATATCAGTCACTGCATGCTACAGAGGAGATAAACTTTCTCCAAAATTCATCTAGATGAGTCACCAAACAAGTAGACAAAAAAGCAGCAGCAAAAGCAATGCTGGAGTGAAGGGTCAAAAGTCCAGAGCTGCTATAATATGTTATCAAAACTCCAATTTCCAGAGCTGGTGCAATGGCTCATACCTGTAATCCCAGCACTTTGGGAGGCTAAGATCTCTTGGGGGGAAGATCTCTTAAGGCCTGGAGTTAAAGACCTCTACAGAAAACAAACACAAAAAACACACAAATACAAAACCTAACAAAAACCAAAAATAAAGTTGTCCAATTTCCAGCAAAAAAAATTACAAGACTTGCAAAGAAACAGTAATGTGGCTCATACACAGAGGTGAGAAAAACAGTCAATAGAACTTATCTCTGAGTAGGTATGGATGTTAGATGTAAATAAAGATTTTTACTCAGATACTATCAATATATTCAAAGAACTAAAGGAAATTATATTTAATGAATTAGAGTATGATAACAATGATTCATTCAATAGAGAGCACCAAATTCTCATCACTAGATCACCAGGGAATTTGATGCATTCAGTGGAGATGCATTAAAGACTTGAAATGACAAAAAGAAACCAAATAGATATACTGAAGTTAATAAATATAATAACTGAAATGAAAAATTAACTTGAGGGCTTAACAGAAGATTTGAGGTGAGAGAAGAAAAAAATTAGTGCCCCAAAAGATAGATCAATAGAAATTATCCAATCGGAATCAGAGAATGAAAAATGAATGAAAAAAATAAACAGAGTCTAAGAAACCTATAGGCAATTTCGAGCATCCCAACATATGTATAATAGGAATGCCAGGAGAAAGAAAAGCAGTTAGATAAAAAAAGTTGCAGGCTGAGCATGGTAGGTCATACCTATAATCCTAATACTTTGGGAGGCTGAAATGGGAAGATTGCTTAAGGCCAGGAATTTGAGAATAGCTTGAGCAAGATTGAAATCCTGTCTCTACAAAAAATAGAAAAATTAGGTGGACATAGTAGCATGTGCCTATAGTCCCAGTGACTCGGGAGGCTGAGGAGGAGGATTGCTCCACCCCACGAGTTTGACATTGCTGTGAACTTTGATGCCACCACTGCACTCTAGCTTGGGTGACAGAGGAAGACTGTGTGAAAGGAAGGAAAGGAAAGAAAAGAAAAGAAATATAGAAATATCATTATAAACTTCCCAAATTTGATGAAATCTATATATCCAAGATCAGCAAACTCTAAGTAGTACAAACTGCAAAAGATCCACATCTAGATACTGTTAAAAGACAAAGACTATCTTGAAAGCAGCAAAAGAAAAACAACTCATTCCATATGAGGGAACCATAGGAAGATTAACAAAAATAATAAAAAGGTAGAAGAAACCCAAGTTTTCATCAATGTTGTGTGAGCATACAATAAAATAGTATTCAGCCTAAAAAAGGAAGGAAATTCTGTGATATGCTACAACAAGGACTAACCTGGCCAAGAGGATCACTCACCAAACCCTATATTCAAAGGGCTGAAGCTCTAATTCAGAGCAGAAGACCAAATACTTGGGGCCCCAATTCTCCTCACCCTACCTCTTATGTAGGTAGGAGTTTCCACATTGGGAGGGATAAGCCAAAAATATGAGGGTCTAGCCAAAAAGATGAGGGCCTACACTCCAGCCCCCTCATTGTCAGTGTCCACTATAAAGAAGGGGTGTCACTTATTCAGGAAAAAGCAGCCCAGCTCTGGTGAAATGACCAAGAGTTCTTCTCAGTA